GGAAGGGGTGGGACCTCGGGGCTGGAAGGGGTGGGGCTCGGGGCTGGAAGGGGTGGGGCCTCAAGGCTAGAAGAGGTGGGGATCGTGCCTGGAAAGGGTGGGGTTTCAGGGCCCAGGGATCCGATACTGCAGGTCTCTCCTGTCCCTCATCGTCCCAGGACCCTTCCAGAGTGGATGAGGCAGTCACAAATCCCCCACTTTCAGATGAAGACGCTGACCCCAGAGAGTGGCAGCGCCCTGGGTCCTAACACAGCCTGCTTCCCTCCTGCCCGATCTTAGAAACCAGGAGCACCCACACCCTGGACCTCTCCGGAGAGCTCTCGGAGGCGCTTGGTCAGATCTTTGACAGCCAGCAGGGCTGCGACCTGTCCATCAATGTGAGTGTGCAGGGCGAGGACGCCCTGGGCTTCTGTGGCCACACAGTCATCCTGACTGCCAACCTGGAGGCCCAGGCCCTGTGGAAGGAGCCAGGCAGCAATGTCACCATGAGTGTGGATGCTGAGTGCGTGCCCATGGTCAGAGACTTTCTCAGGTGAGCCATCTCATCCTCAGGCTCTGGGACCGCCAGGGGCTTCGTCCTCTTCCCCTCTTCAAAAGCACACCCACACGCACATGCACACCTGCACACACTCATGTGTGCACATGTATACATGCAGTCACACGTGCACTCACACAGTAGCACACACGCGTGCTCGCTCCCACGCGTGCTCACTCCCACGCTGTACACACTGGTGTGCCGCAGATGGCTGTGCTGGAGAGGCGGGCCCAGGGCTCCCCTGCTGTCCTGTGAGGCCAGCATCAGCTCTCCCTCACCCTCCCCAGGTACTTCTACTCCCGAAGGATCGACATCACCCTGTCATCGGTCAAGTGCTTCCACAAACTGGCCTCTGCCTACGGGGCCAAGCAGCTGCAGGGCTACTGCGCAAGCCTCTTTGCCATCCTCCTCCCCCAGGACCCCTCATTCCAGATGCCCCTGGACCTGTATGCCTACGCACTGGCCACCGGGGACCCCCTGCTGGAGAAGCTCTGCCTGCAGTTCCTGGCCTGGAACTTCGAGGCCCTGATGCAGGCTGAGGCCTGGCCCAGCGTCCCCACAGCCCTGCTCCAATTGCTGCTGCCCCGGAGTGACCTGGCTGTGCCCAGCGAGCTGGCCCTGCTGAAGGCCGTGGACACCTGGAGCTGGGAGGAGCGCGCCTCCCAGGAGGAGCTGGAGGGCTTGCTGGAGAAGGTCCGCTTCCCCATGATGCTCCCTCAGGAGCTCTTTGAGCTGCAGTTCAACCTGTCCTTGTACTGGAGCCACGAGGCCCTGTTCCAGAAGAAGAGTCTGCAGGCCCTGGAGTTCCACACCGTGCCCTTCCAGTTGCTGACCCGGTACAAAGGCCTGAATCTCACTGAGGATGCCTACAAACCCCGGATTTACACCTCGCCCACCTGGAGTGCCTCTGTGACGGACAGTCGCGGGAGTACACAGAAGTCACAGCTGGTCTATTGGCCCAGAGGGGGTTCTTCACCCAAATACTCTCCTAATGACATTGAAGCCCCCCTCGACTATAGATACTACCACCCCTACCAGCCCTTCCAGACCCCACAACACCCCAGCTTCCTCTTCCAGGACAAGTGGGTGTCCTGGTCCCTGATCTACCTCCCCACCATCCAGAGCTGCTGGAACTACGGCTTCTCATGCTCCTCGGACGAGCTGCCTGTCCTGGGCCTCACCAAGTCGGGCCCCTCAGATAGCACCATCGCCTACGAAAACAAAGCCCTGATGCTCTGCGAAGGGCTCTTCGTGGCAGACGTCACCGATTTTGAGGGTCTGAAGGCTGAGATTCCCAGCGCCCTGGACAGCAACAGCTCCAAGGGCACCTCCTTCTTCCCGTGCCCAGCAGGGCACTTCAGCAGCTTCCGCACGGTCATCCGCCCCTTCTACCTGACCAACTCCTCGGGCGTGGACTAGATGGCATGGGCCAGGGGCCGGCAGGGGCAGGGGTGGTAAGAACCCAAGAAGCCCAGGACACCCTCGCTGCAGGCTCCTTTCTTGGCTCCCTTCCTCTTGGCAACGACTTTCAACAACCGGCCACCAGATGTCCCCCTACTCCCCTGAGCGCTCAGCTTGAGAAATTACTGGGAAGCTTCCACAAGTGTGAACCAGTTCTCCCACCAGCCCACCAGTTTCCAGGTTGGGAAGCACCAAGACGCCCTCGAGGTCGCTCTGGGATCCCCCCACACACCCCGCTCAGTTTGCCTTTGTCACTGCTCTGAGATCATTACAGTTACGCTGTGGTTGCTACATCTGTTTGTATAGAAAGTGTTATTGGGTCCATACCATGTTTGGACATTGGGTGTGTCAGGCTCTAGGAGGCAGGAAATGAGGGAGAGTCCCTGTCCTCGTAAAGCTGCGGGTAGTGGGGGAGACAGGGAGCCCGGAGCAGTGACACAGTATGACACAAGCAGGGGGGTGTGTGCCACTGAGTACGTGCACGTGGGTGTGTGATTGTGGGTGCATGGGTGTGTTGTTTTTTTTTTTTTTTAGATGGAGTCTCTGTCACCCAGGCTGGAGCACACTGGTGCACCCTCGGCTCCCTGCAACCTCCACCTCCCGGGTTCAAGTGATTCTCCAGCCTCAGCCTCCTGAGTAGCTGGGATTACAGGTGCTCGCCATCATGCCCGGCTAATTTTTGTATTTTTATAGAGACAAGGTTTCACCATATTGGCCAGACTGGTCTCAAACTCCTGACCTCAGGTGATCTGCCCACCTCAGCCTCCCAAAGTGCTGGAATTACAGGCGTGAGCCACTGCACTGGGCCTATGGGTGGGTGTGCTTTTGACAGCATGACCTCCTGCTCATGTCTGACAGGAAGGAAAGGGTGCTGAGGTGGCAAACTCAGGGCTGCACCTCCGGGGGTGGCTGGGTCTCTGGAAGACGTGACCAGGCTGGGTGGTGGAGACCAGGAGACAGCGGACTGTGGAAGCTGCGGGGAGGGAGAAAGAACAGCAGGAGTTAGGAACCTTCACTCTGGAAATCCTTGTGCACAGGGATAGGGGACAGAGATTCTCAGCCTTGTAAGAGTGAAAAATTGAAAACAATGTCAGTACCCACCAACAGGATGCTTGACCACAAATAAGAGGCAGGGGGAGGTGTGCTAGAAAGATACTGGGAAGCACAGAGTCTCAGGGGAGGCTGGGGCACACTGGGTGCCGGGGGGACATCCGTGAGAATGCCATAGTGGGCTCTGGGCACCGAGTGCCGCCTGCTGCCAGCCAGGCTTCTCCCTGGCCCGCTGCAGGCACAGAGTCCCCAAGGCGGCACCGGCTAGGCCGAGCTCAGGCTGGCGCCTGCCGCTGTACCAGAGTCTGGAAAGACAAGAGTGCGGACTGTGTTGGCCTCTGGAACAGGAGGTGGCACAGGGGCTCCCCTAATGGCAAGGAGGTTCCGGTGCTGGACAGCCAGACAGTGGTAGATGCCCCACCTACCCTTTCCCCACGGGTACTGCCAGGAGCAAAAGCAGGCTCACAAAACCTCCTGCCCACCAAGGCAGCTGCTCCCCCGACCCCCCACTCCAGATTGTGCATCCAGCCCAGGTTCACCATCCTGGCAAGACATCTCCTCCTCCACACGTTTTTTGTTTGTTTTGAGACAGGGTCTTATTCTGTTGCCCAGGCTGGAGTACAGTGGTGCCATCTCAGTTCACTGCAAACTCTGCCTCCGCCTCCTGGACCTGAGCGATTCTCCTGCCTCAGCCTCTGGGATTACAGAGTACCTGGGACTACAGACATGCACCAGCATGCCTGGCTAATTTTTGTTGTTGTTGAGACCGAGTCTCGCTCTGTCACCCAGGCTGGAGTTCAGTGGCGCGATCTTGGTCCACTGCAACTTCCGCCTCCCGAGTTCAAGCGATTCTCCTGCTTCAGCCTCCCGAGTAGCTGGGATTACAGGTGCCCACCGCTACGCCCAGCTAATTTTGTGTATTTTTAGTAGAGACGGGGTTTCACCATGTTGGCCAGGCTGGTCTCGAACTCCTGACCTCGTGATTCACCCGCCTCGGACTCCCAAAGTGCTGGGATTACAGACGTGAGCCATCATGCCCAGATTTTTTTTTTTTTTTTTTTTTTTGCATTTTTAGTAGAGTCCGGATTCTGCCATGTTGCCCGGGCTGGTCTCAAACTCCTGGGCTCAAGCCATTTGCTCACCTCAGCCTTCCAGAGTTCTGGAATTACAGGCGCCACTCTGCCCCGCCTACCGCCCCCACTTCTTTTTTGATCCTGTTGACATTTTAGCAGCTGATGGGCTACATCGCACCATGGACCACCCCCAGCGCCTCTACTGGGGACGAACCACTGATCAGGAAGAAGAAGGAAACAGGGTGGAGGCGTGGCAGACACAGCAAGGACCAGAATGACAGCCTCCGTTTCTCCACTCAGCCCAGGCCCACAGCAGTTCCCCTCTCTCCTCCGTGACATCTCAGGGCCAGGGAAGGTAACTGGAGTTTTTCTTCCAGAGAACCCTGAGCCCCGGGGTCCTGCCTGCAAGGAAGCTGTAGTCCCGTGTGGAGCTGGTCAATGCACGGGTGTGAGAAATCACTTGAGTCCTTTGGTGCTGCTTGCAGTTTTGAGCGGCAGCCCTGTTCCCCGGGACAGTCAGGACCAACCATCCAAGCCTCCCAAACACTCCTCCCATCCACTCCTCCCATCTTCACTGCCAATTCGAGGGGATGTGGAGATATCTCGCGGTGGAAACATTCCTCTCGGGTGTAGAACCCCTATGCCAGCAGAACCCAGGTAGAACCTTCGCTCTGGGTGATGGGTGCTGCTCAGGGCACCTGGCTCACACCTGTGCATTCTGAACAGGAAGAAGCACAGATGGGCTATGCGAGCTGGTGCGTCCGCAGGGGGAGGGCGGTGTTTTCTCGTCTTCAGTGAGCGGCGAGAGCATGTACGGGGCAGTCTGGAGGTAGGGACTTCGGGGCCTGGCTCCTCTGCCGCCCAGCATGTCCTCAGAGCCAGGCTCCTGAGCCCGAGGCTTCATCCCAGCCTTCCTGTTTCATGAGCCCTTGAATGCATGATGGTGACACATGTGACTGAGACCACGGCCTGGCTGCAGCTGCTGAGTCACCTGCATGTGTGTGGGTGGCCAGGAGGGCGGGAAAGGTGTTTGGTCAGTGAAGGGCTGGTGGCACTGAGTGCCGTATAGGATGGAGGTATTCGGATCTAGAGTAAGTGTCGATTCCTGGGGAGCCAGTGGCTGCCTCCTCCATGGAAAGGGTCGGCCGAAAGCCACAGCCATCAGGGAGCCGGCACTGAATGAGGGCCATGGAGCGCGAGGTCTGCTCCCGTCAGCCTTGGTCCCTCCCGCCAGGCCACCTATCAGCAGAGCAGGCCCTGGAGGCCGGGGAGGCACAGAGTGATGCTCTGTGACACCTGTCCCCACACCCCAGGGCAGGCACCCAGCATGGGACCGCCATGGGGCCTTTCCGGGAACAGTCAGGGCAGAAGCATCCTCACCTCCGTGGCCATTCCCAGGTGCCTGTCCCTGCACTCTTCCCAAAGCTCACGGGTACTCATTCTTCTACCCTCCTCCCTCCAGCCCTGGCACCTTAACAAACCCTGAGCCACTTCCACAGGGATCTAGCCGAGATTGGGCCTGCTTCTAAGGGACCAAGGGGCACACATCTAGGGCTCCCACTGGTGTTCACTTTGGTCCAGTGTGACGACTGCAGCGTGATGGGTTGGCAGGAAGCAGACAGAATGAGATCATGGGTGCACTCCTAAGGCAGGACACGTGTGTGTGCACGCGTGTGTGTGCACTCATGTGTGTGCACGCATGTGTGTGTGTGTGCACACAAATGAGAGAGACAGAGAAAGGGAGGGGGAGGAATTGCCATCAGCACCTGCTGCCTCCACGTGCAGGGCTGTGTTCATTTACCCAGCCAGCCACACCTGAAACAGAGGCGCGTCTTTCTTCACCTGGTGTAACTCAGGAGAAGCTCCTCACCTCGTCCTCAGCCCCAGAGCCCCTGCCCTGCAGCTCAGTCACTGGGTTAATGGCCAAGAGGACCTTTGGGGAAGGCCAGGAAGCAGATTCTTGGTACTGTAAGTCCTTGTCATTTTATTACAGGGTACTTTCTCTAAGAGATTTGACCACCTTTCCTTTGAAGGGGCTCGGGGTGATCCAGGAATTGGGCGAGCGGCCAGGACTCTACTGTGATGGTGCAAAGTGCCTGTTCATCAGAGCTGAGCTGAGCTTTTCTTTCTGGTTTGTTTGTTTCTTTTTGTGATGGAATCTCGCTCTGTCGCCCAGGCTGGAGTTCAGTGGTGCAATCAGCTCATTGCAACCTCCACCTCCCAGGTTCAAGCGATTCTCCTGCCTCAGCCTCCCAAGTAGCTGGGATTACAGGTACACACACCCCCACACACCCCCTGCCACCCCCAGCTAATTTTTTGTATTTTTAGTAGAGAGAGGGTTTTACCATGTTAGCCAGGCTGTTCTTGAACTCCTGATCTCAGGTGATCCGCCTGCCTCAGCCTCCCAAAGTGCTGGGATTACAGGTGTGAGCCACCGTGCCCAGCCCTGATCGTGAGCTTTTCGAACGCTACAGATGAGGTGAGGGTTTTGCAATCGGCCAGCCTGTTTTGGTCCCATGCTCCTCCTCCCCATGGCTGTCAGGAAGCACTTTCAATTTCAACATCTCCAGAGAGCCTCTCTGACCTAGACAGAGAAGCCACAGGGCATTTCCTGGAGGCCGGTGCCTCCTTCCCTGCATGTTTCCCTGGGCTTCGGGGGAGGAGAGCTTCCTGGGTCTGTCCAGAGTCGAGGACAGCAGTTGACAGCCCCCGGCAGGCGTTCCAGGCCTCTTGGCTCCCCAGTGCCACACACGGGCCATCTGGGCCTCCAGTTTTCAGTCCAGCGATTGAGAAGATAATTAGCACCACTCCCAGCTGCTCAAGCTAGCGCACAAAGCCAAAATCTCTCATGCATGCACCTGTACTGGCTATTTTTAGCTTCAGCTTCCTATAATGAAAGCCCAGCATGGCAGGGGCTCATATGACATTTTTCTTTCTTTTCTGTCACATAAAAGGGAGAAGGCATCCCTTCTGGAGGGAAACTTCTTCCATTTGTACACCATTATTGCATGCCTGCCACCCACAAGCCTACCCTCATGATCTATAATGGTTGCTGAGATTCTAGCCATCATTTCTGCCTTTTAGGCAGCAAAAAGAAGGTAGCAGAAAAGGAAAAAAACTTTTCCTAGCTGTCTATCCCAAGGCTGAGCACCTCTTTATTTTTGGTTTTT